CCTGCTAGCTGGCCAAGCTTACACAAAACCTCTTGGATATTGGCATGGTTGCTGGGAAAGAATGATGAAGACACAATTTGTACACTTCACAAATATCTGAGGTATGTATTCCAGGTCAACAATGAATGGTAAAATGAAATTCTATGAGAAAGTCAACAAGGCACAGACTTCAACACAGAATAAGTTTATACCTACTTGAATCTATGATCCTGGTTTCTGACAGAAGTGGAATCCATTTTACAATTGTAGGCTTCTGTTTCATACCTATAGTAGCAAAGCTCTCTTTGTATAATCTTCTACTAACTAAATACCCTCTCTTCAACAGGCTACAAGCTGGGCTTCACATTATTGAACTCACTCAAGCTCAACTTTGATGACAGCTAGTGTACATGTAAGGTGTTGGAAATGTCTTTGCATTACACATTTCTAGTAGGTATTATTATTTTATATACTGAAGAGTTCTGATTTTAGTTACTATCAGATCTTCTTGATTTTATTATTTCTTTAGATTACATAATCACTTTCTTCATGTAGTTAGTTCTTTCCTATTTGGAATGGACAGTTGAGTTTTGACCAGAGCCCACAACAACACTAGAGGGAACAAGCCCACCAAAACCTTGCCTCTCAAAACAGTGAAATTCAGGTATATGAATTGCTCCAATATACTATAGTACTGCAATGTGTAGTTGGAGAGGGAAGAATGAGAATGGACCTAGCACGTTCTGAAAACAAGTTGTCTGCACACAAACTCTCGAATGATTACAAGATGGGGAACATAGCAGACTCATTGTTGGATAACATTAGATTACACAGATAATGTTGGATTTCACTGATCATTGTACAATGATACTCTGACAGCTTAAAATGATAGGGATAGGGAAAGGATGGTGAATTTCTGTTACTGTGCCCACAGTACAAGGGACCATCAAATACATTTGGAATACTCAACTAGTCTGCTATTAAATAAATATCTATTGACATGATGTTTATAACAAAGCACTGTCTGTTGAAGAATGTTGTACAGTCATACTACTTTTGAATATATATTCTCACACTCTGTGTGTTGAATTGAGCAGCATGCTGTGTCTGAACACCCTTTCTTTCCACTATTAACTCCTTTCTACTCTCATGAGAAGTGGCTCTACTCTCTTGTTACACCTGAGGTCTGGAGACTACTTGTGGAACTGAGTGAGCTGGCCACAACAGATACTCTCTGTCAATATTAACATAGAGTGAGTATAAGTATTGATGACCTGGGGCACTAGCCTGATAAAAGGTATGAACAGTTGTGCTGCATGCTCAGTATTGTTTCTGTTTAACTTACTAACACTATTTGTTATTTCAAGCTCCAGGATTATTCCAAGATTCAGAATGTTGCCTAGAGAGTCTCACAGGTGCTAAGTAAGCAGAGTGTCTCTTCATGTTCTGGTGTTGCATCCATGAAATAACTAGTCTGAGTTCACTATACTGCCTTTACTGACACATCCAGCTCTCTGTGACTAAGGTAAGCAGAATATTGTATGCTAGCAAAACCTATCAAAATAGTTACATTACAAAATAACATCCATACTGTACTACAATGCATCCACACTCTTTTATTTTTGCTCCAATTATTTTAATCTGGTTTCAATCCACTCATTCTGGACCTTTACCACTTCTCTTCCTTTTCCTCCCTCTTCTTGGACAGGATTCAGCTTCATCTGATAATACCTGAAGTTGCAATGTATGAAGTACAGTAAATTGTTCATGAGTCTTACAGAGCAATTGGTCAACACAGTCGAGTTCTACACTGAGTTGATGAGGGGTAGTAGGAACTGGATGTTACAGACTGCTAGGACTAGTAATTAGATAGGGTGCTTGTGGACAAGGAGGGCTGGCATGGTGAGCCTGAAGATTTTCCTCATATTTCTGTTTTACTACTCAAGTCCATGTTACCTTTGAACATTTCTTCTTTATAGTGTGTGCACAAACATAGTATACTTGATTTGTAGGACTATTGTATGGCAAATTGTGATTAATGTACTAGTCACATTAGATTATTTCTTTGTTGGCACTACTAGGCTCTAGAGAAGGTGAAAGGAAGAGAGGGGGGTGTTTGAGGAAGAGAGGGTGTTGTTCAGGAGGAACTGAGGACTTGCAAGACACAGATGGCCCAGGAGCTGTAGGAACTGACATTGTGCCTGCCAAATCTGTCAAATCTGTCAAATCTGTACCAGAACTGACTAGAAGCTGACTACCAGACATTGAAGGGGCCAGATTGGTCATAGTAAGACCCTCACCTTCATTATCCAAGCTACTGACAACACAGTAGCAGGAATGTAGGGGCTGAAGGTGAGCTCAACCCTGAGCTTGCTACTGTTCCTACTGGATTACAGTAGACTCTGACTGAAGTGAGGTGAGCATTCACTCATACTGTTCAGTTTGCTCAGCAAACTCAGTCTCTACCTCTGACATGGTACACTAGTGAGGAGGAGCTAATGCTTGTTAGCTTGGACCAATAGTAGGAGCAGATCCCAGACTAAGAGTCTCTATTGTAGGAACAGTAGGATCAGCATCTTCAGTAATAAGATCACTATCCCTAGTGACTCCTTGCTGCTTCTTCTACTAGTGCCTATACTTGTGTTGGATAACCTTTAGACACTTGTGAATCCTGGTCAAACGTGGATTCAAAGACCATTTGACTGAGACAGGTGTCTCTATTATCTGACCCACAGTAAGACAAACCTTCTGCTCAATCTAGAAAAGACCTTAGTACACGTCCAGGAAAGCAAAAGGACACAATGCACCATGGCTGATTCATACTACTCTTTAACTGTCCAATAATCCACCCTTGTTGTAATATTTCCCAATGACTCCTCTAACTATATAATATTGTAGCAAAGTGATTCCTACTTCTCCCTTACCTTGTTCTACTGTGTATCATGTCTGGACAGTAATAAATGGTAGCTGGACATTACAGAGGTGATAGTTTGGGCTGGGTGGCAGGGAAAGCTAGCATGTGGACAGAGTATAGTAGGGGTTGAAGTAAGAATCGACTTGGTGGAAAAGTTGGTGGGTCACCAAAAACTGAGAGGTCTATTAGAATTGTGCCAAAGAGCTTTGTATGACAGGGAATTGTCACAATTTGATACTCAGGAAGGTGAAATGCTTACAAGGAGTCTTGAGTCAAAAGTAAATACACACTTGTGTTAGTATGGAGTACTGAAGGAGCAGGAGATAATATTGGTACAGGGCACAAAGGATACTGTGTGTAAATATATATTTGAGTATGGTGTACATTCTTACAACATACACAATCTGTAGGTAATCTGATAAATCTGCTATAGGTCAAATTGTGAAGACAAATTAGAATATTCCTGGGACAATGCTTTACTATGTTGTCACATCAGTAGTTATCTATTTTCTAGCAGACTAATTGCATATTCTGAATGTGTGGAATATGGAATGGTCCCTTGTATTACAGGGGTACTGGGAGGAAAATTTATTGTCTGTTCCCTATCATTTCCAGCTATCAGGGCATTACTGTGTAATAAATAGTGAAATCCAACAATCAGTCAAGAGTAGGGGATTATATTCATATTCACACACAGGCAACCATGAGTTGCCACAAGAATATATTAACTATGTAGTAAATACAATGTTTTAGAGTTGTATGAAATCACACTTAGTGTACATAAACACAGGTATATTAGAGAAAGTTTGCTGTGGGTCAGACAGATTGAATACAGCTTACAAGATGTATTATTGCTGTTTTGTAAATGTCACCTCCTTTGGTATCCTTTGGTGGATGGATACCATCATTGCAAATCTTTTTCCAGGAAAAATGAGTATACTGTTGTAGGCCTCCAGTCAAACATACTCACTTTTTCATTGTATAATCTGCTAATTCATGATCTTCACTCCACATATTGACATACAGTCTGGTCAGCCTTGTCCCTTTGTGGAGAAGCAAGGCATCACCTTGAAAATTCTGTATGCTGAGGCTGTAACACAAGCATATATGCCTCTTAAAGAAAACCACAAATTGACACTCCTCACATTAGAACCTTACAGTAATCTGGCTGTTGTGAATGTACAACTGTGTTTGTCCCCCCTCCATGACTGACTCTGGTAGAGGGTACATGGAATTTCCATAATGAGCTGTTACAATCCTCACATTATACAGATTTTCTCTGTATGCAGAATAGAATTGTAAAAGCAAGAAGCTTGTCAATACCTGTGAAAGAGTTTGAACAGCAATTCATCTGACAGAGTCAAAACTTACACTGTTTGATAGGAACAAATTGGTCCAGGTGTTTGGCATTCCTTTAAAGGCTGAATGTTGTATAGCATCAAGCTTTGGACAGAGGATACACTTGATGCTTGACTTGGAACGTATCAAATAAGAACAATCCCTAGAGTTTTTAGAGGAAAGCTTACACAAAGGGTAGGGCTAAAACAACAAAGAGATAGGAACCTGATAAAGAGGCAAAGAAATGCCACCACAAGATCCAACCATTGGGAAAACAAGGCATTAAGAAACAAGGTGGTGATGCTCTATATTCAGGCAAAAGGCACAATGACAGTACAAACACACAAAGGAAGGTTGTGCACACACAATAACAGTATGGGTACACAAAGGCAGGTTGGGCACACAATGACAGTACAGGCACACAAAGGCAGGTCAGACAAACACAATGACAGTACAGGTACACAAAGGCAGGTCAGGCACACAATGACAGTATGGGCACACAAAGGCAGGTTGGGCAAACACAATGACAGGATGAGCTCAGAAGAGATACAAAGGTAGAAAGGCAAATTGATAGTCCTTTACATTTCCAAGTGCTGGGCACACAAAAGCAGGTTGGGCACACAAATGGCAGGGTGGGCTCAGTAGTAACACTAGGCAAAGCAAAGAAACAAAGGCAGAAAGCAATTATAGTTGTTGTAGGACACAGATGCTTACACACAAGTACAGCTATATAAGAGCTGGTTGCTCAACAGTTACCTTATACTAGTGGATGCAAGCAAAAAGAAACTGGAAGATTATCAGGGCTGACAACAATGAGATGGTATTTCCATTAAGCAACAACTCAGACAACAAGAATCTTCAAATGACATACAACAAGGACATTAACAGGACAGACAATGAGCAAACCCACACGACTGACAATGAGGTCACCAACATGACAGACAACAGCCATACTAATAGATCTAGGACAGGTGACAAGGACACTGACTTGACAGACAATGGCACCCACACAACCAACAACAAGGATGCTTACCTGTTGGCTTCTGACAATGTCATTAACAAGAATGACAAGCTTGCTGAGGTGAGTGATCAACTGCCCATCAGCTCTACAACATTAGTAGGCCTTATAAATTGGTTGTAATGTGTATTTGATTGACTTTGTGTTCTAGGGATTGGGACTACTCACACATTCTGAAGAGTTCGAAAGGACAATATGTCAAGGATTCTCTACAATTGTAGTAAGTCTAGACCTTATAATATTACAGCACAACTCCTTGACTGGCTCTAATTTAGGGCCCATCCCTTTCACTCACCAACATTGTAAAGCAATTTCCACTACCAGAGATCAACTTTGAACCTATTTTCGAGAGGGTATCTCTGTTAGCCACAGAATCCCAGGAGACACTGAGTGCAATACCTGAAGTGAGGTCTACACTAGTAATAAGCCTTATAAATTAGTAGTACTATATGCTTTACTGACATCAGATCATAGGGAGCACTATCAGTCACTGAATTCAAAGTAAGCTTTATTGATCACTACTAAACCTGCAAAATTAACTAAGTTTGATCTAGAAAATAGACAGTGAAAGTTCGACTGGTAGAACAGTTGTAGTAAGAATTTTCCATTTATTCACTTTCTGTGAGTCTACAACCAACTGTGTTGATTTAGCCAACTGTTTGTTGCTTTCTGTATATCTCTGGATCTGGAACTGAAAATTGTTGATTTAGACCAAGGTTGAGTACCTGGTTCCTAAGAAGTGGAAGCTCAGTAAGGAGGTATTTGATAGTGACAGGCCTTATAAACACAATACTAGGGAACAGGTGATTCCTGTCTATTAGTTGATGTGGCAAGTGCTAAAGTCCCACAGTCCCCCCCAGGTTTTAGAATAACTTTTGTAAGTCCTGACTTAAATCATGGTGGATAATAATCTTTATCCAAAATTGTAGACAGCTCTCAAGCAACTTGAGGAAATGATCAAGGAACTGGCAGACAAGGAAAAAAAACTTGACAAATTCAGTAAGTTAGTAATGCACACAATGAATGACTTGGAGACAGTATGTAAAACAGTTACATATTCCACATCCATCTTATGTCATGCTATTTTGATAAAGGCATCAGTGTTGCAACACAACTTGCAAGGTGCTGAAAGGACAATAAGAAATTTGCAACAAGTAGGGAATAGTATTCATCCACTAATAATTAAAGGTATAACAATGTAGCAGAGCATTTCTAAGTCGTCCAAAGTCTGTAGTAATCGTGCTGGAGAAAGTAGTAGGGTACAGGATAACAGAGAAGGTAACAGAAGAGTGCTTGGAAACTATTAATGTATTTGGTTTGTCAATCCTATTGAAGAGCTATGCTGATTACAATAAATATAGGGTCATTCTCCCTCAATCTGTGTGAGGAAAGCAGAACAGTACAAGGTTATAGAAATGCAAGGGCAATTGACAATAGAGGTATTTAGCTGTTACATTCATCTAAATGTGCTAATTGAGATGGGATAAAGAAGACATGTCTGCCTCAAGCCTCTTAGGGCAGAATAGTGCACATTCTAACAATGTAGGAATGTCTGACACAACTGTATACATACCACAACACAGCTCAAGCAACAAGAGGCCAAATAAGGGAAAGGGAAGGGTGGATGATGGCCATGCAAACCCAGGTATGGTTGGTGTATTCATTAAAGAAATCCATTGATTATGGAAAAACAGAGCAAGTCCTTCCTGATCTGTCTGAGGGAAGCATTATCCAGAACAAGAACAGTAAGGGCAGAGCAGTCCAACATACTCAAGGTACATTCACTGTATTCATTGAAGTCATCTACTGATTATAGCTTTGTAGAGTCAGGTATTTCTGATTTGCTTGAGGGAAGCAATATTTGGAACAAGAAAGACAAGGGCCTGGCAGTTGAAGATACTCAAGGTGCCTTCACTGTATTCACTAAATCATCTGCTGATTGTATGTTTGTAGAGCAAGTCCTTCCTAATCTGTCTAAGGGAAGTAATATCTGGAACAAGAAAGGTAAGAGCCTAGTAGTCAAAGATACTCAAGGTATCTTTAGTGTATTCATTGAAGATGTCTACTGATTATAGCTTTGCAGAGCCAGGTATTTCTGATTTGCTTGAGGGAAGCAATATCTGGAACAAGAGAAGCAAGGGCCCAGTGTTTGAAGATACTCAAGGTACCTTCACTGTATTTGCTAGATCATCCACTGATTGTAAATTTGCAGAGTGAGTCCTTCCTAATCTGTCTGAGGGAAGCAATATCTGGAACAGGAAAGGCAAGGACCCAGCAGTCAAAGATACTCAAGGTATCTTTAGTATATTCATTGAAGACGTTTACTGATTATAGCTTTGTAGAGCCAGGTATTTCTGATTTGCTTGAGGGAAGCAATATCCAGAACAAGAGAAGCAAGGGCCTGACAGTTGAAGATACTCAAGGTACCTTTACTGTATTTGCTAGATCATCTGCTGATTGTAAATTTGCAGAGCAAGTCCTTCCCAATCTGTCTGAAAGAAGTGATAAACCTTCTTGTGTCAACCAAACACCTAGAAGACAATACAGACACAACCTTAGTACTCCAGAAGTACATGTATATTAACTAAAGCTTTATTCATTTACACTGACTGTCTGGAAAGTCGGATTTGAGATCTGACCAATTCAGTCATCATTTTCCACACAGTGACCAATCTAATGCTAGTGAAGTTGAAAAGGGCAGTGAGGGCAATAATAAGGACAAGGATGAGGACAAGAAAGACAGTGAGCACAAGAGACAAGACAATGTGGAACACTTATTCCTAGTAGTAAGTGGTGATGTGTATTGGTGTAGCTTTTACTAACAATATGTAAGGGCTGTGTGAGAGATGTGTTTCACAAAAGTTTCCCAGAATCTAGAGAGGACAACTTCATACTACATGAACCCACTAAAAGGAAGGATGCTCATGCTTTCAAGAAGGGCCAGCATCATAGCCCAGACCCTTCTAACATTCACATTAATGTATATGGCCCAATCAGTTTGTATTAGAACAAGGCCATTGTCAACATCCTATATGATTGAGCACTATGTTTAGTCAGAACGAAGATGGAATGTACACAGGATGTACAAAAGGAAGTTTGAAGGAGGGTGAAGAGTAAGCTTGTACAGGTCAGGAGCATCTGGAGATGGGCTGATCCAAAATACTTGGGAGAGGGATATGTTGAGTCAGCTGAAGCTACTGGTGCCTGAATTTCACAAGCTGTATATGAAGAAGCAAGGCAACAGAGACAGAATACAAGGAGACTCTAAGTATGCTAAAATTTGTCTGTACTACTCTTTGCTCCAAGCTAACCCTGCCCCCCCTACTGGTGGATCTAGCTTTTTAAGCAATGTTTACAAATGTGCAAGGTTAGAATATAGACAGCTGAGACTACAGATAAGAGGGAGTTTTGGACGTTTGTGAAAGACATGGTGGAGAAATATGGATCTGCAGGAATGAGCTCTGATGAATCTGACATTAATGAGAACAACAGACATGTTTATTATGTATGCAAACCAAGCTGGCATAGGGAGGTTGAGCCATGACTGTGACTCATCAATGAAAGCTGTAATACTAGTGTCAACCCTCAAGGTTCTCAACCGAGAGAACAACTGTAGGAAGCCAATTTCAAAACTGCTTGCCCTACAGTGTTAGGTCTGCCTTGTTCTTTTTATAACCAGGAATGGCTTGAGAGACAATGAACAAGGTAATAGAAAGTACTAGATTCCCTAACAGAAGAGAATTTCGACTAGATCCTTTATAATTAGTTACCCTAGTTGGCATGTAGAAGACACTATACATAGATATGGAGAGAAATTTCAGTATATCTTCCTCCATTATAGTTGTCTGAGTAATGTTACTGTTTTGTAAGTCAATCTGACCTCAGGATCCCTTATCTGAGGAATCTGTCCAATACAACATTGTATATTGTGTCCAATACAGACTTGTCACAGCTTTGTGTACAAAGTATTTGTTTTTAGTCCATTCTTTCACAATTCCTTGAATTGTATTTTCCACTGTTATGATATAAGTAGGATAGCTAGCAAGACAATGGGTCACAGATGTAAATGTATGGCTGTTACTTTTCCCTACAGTGTATCTCAGATAGAAGATCAATACAACAATACTGTATTAAAGCAGAGCATGTAAGGACAATAACCTAGGCAGACTTGAATTTGGGATTCTACACTAAGGGGCACTGATACAGGAAACACAAAAGTGTCAGGGTCTGGCCTGGTTGTTGCCCAACACATACACGTTTTGTTTGCTAACAGAGTAACAAGAGTTAGCATATGCAACTATTTTTGGGATACTTTACACTCTAGCAAGGCAGTCTGTTGGAATGTAACAGAGTTACTTTGCCAGGCATGATTTGGCAGGGACTAGTGACAGTCAGGCAGGGTGAGAGATACTCACTGTTGGTGATCTTGTGGGAAGACATACTGAGGAAGTTGTTAGCAATGTCAGGTCAAAGTTCTCAAGCCAGGAGACTGAGTAGTATGGGATAGTAATCTGCTGGGATGTGACAGTAGCAATGTAAGGAAATTAAACAGACAGATGTGGACAATCTTTGGGGGTAGACACATTGGAGGCAGGCAACTTGGTAAACCTGTCCAGATCTGCAGGTTAAACTGTTTGGACACTACCACAAAAGCAGGACTACAATACAGTCACAATGACACTGAGAAACAGGTTGTGAGACACATTGTACAAACACACCTACTATACTACATTCCTTGAGGTCTGTGTAATGTGTGTGACCCATGTCTCAGAGTGATACAACTCAGATACACATAGTGCTGAGTCCTGTCAAGTACCAGAGCTTCTCACACAGTTGACACGTTGATTGTAACACTGGGAATGCAGTACTTCAGCCTGTTCTGCCAACTTTGTCTACATATGTGGTTTAGACTTTATAATTTAAATTGACAATTAAATATTGTTGTAAGGTGATTTAAAGAGTAAGCATGTCAAATTGTGTTGGCTGTAATGTTGTGTATGTTACATGAATCTGTGAAAGTACAAAATTCTATTACTCAGAATCCAACTCTGCAAGCCTGCTTAGTTGTAGCCTTCTCTGGTAAAGAGTATAAGACAATATGCAACTATCCTTTGTGAGCTATTAGAAATTGGAGCTGTAGTTGAGAGGAAGGAAATCTAACCTTCTTTGTGTTGAACATTTCTGCTACATGATGCTCCTCATGTTGCTTGTGGTGACACACAGTATACTTCAGACGCATTTTACAGATGTCTGCAACAGGCCAGGAGTCCTCAAAGATTCGGAACTCTGGGACCCTCTCTAAAGCCTAAAGAGAACTTGTTATACTAGGGAACAGTCAGACACATAGTATCCTCCCACCTTTCTCAAGACTATCTTAACTACCTTATCATCCTGGTAGGATAACAATACTGTAGTATCAAGATATTCATCAATGAGATTCCACACTACTTCCTATATAAAAACAGTCAGTACTGATCAGCACAAGTCTTAAACAAATACTTGCCTGCCTCTTCTGGAAGATATCTTGTTTCCAGTCATATTTTTGCAATTCCTTTTCTAGACTATATCCTCCTCTACCTGGCCTACCCACTTCCCTAACAGGTTTTGTAATGAGAGCAATTGTAGCATGTAAATCTTCCTTGTCAGACATACTGCTCTACAAAGTGGCTTGAGAATCATTGCCCTCTGTGTCTGTACTGTGGGTACAGTTTTTGGCTTTGTAATGTTGCTTTGTGTGCACAGAAGAATGTGCTGCCTGTACCTCTTCATATGGCTGGATTGGATTGAGTGTATTGACCTGTACTGTAGATGGAGACAGTGGTTGCCTTGTGTGTGGTTCAGGTTGAGAAGGTACTAGTGTATAGTTGAGCAGATTATGCTTGCACACTATGAGTGTAGAGGGAGTAGGTTAGCATGGCAGCAGAATTTATTCAAAGCAGACTCAGTACACAACAAAGGCTCCATGTGGCATGGCCAAATACAAAGGCAACTGGACTCCTTGATACAATCATCCAGAATAGGTGTGTCCTTTGAAAATCCAGTTGCAACAACAGTAAACAGGAAGAGTCCATTGTTCACCCTCACAGTATTGGATGGCTCATAGAGATTGTCCAATCTAAGGACTTGTGTGGGTTGGATGGGAGGGCAATTGTTCTCCCTGTTCGAATGGGCAGAGAAAGACCCATTGTTCACCTCACAGTATCAGGTAACTTATGGACATTGTTTAGACTAAAGCTGGTATTAGTTGGACAGGAGGGCAATTGTTCTCCTTAGTAAAAAGGGGCAGAGAAAGATCTTTGGAAAGAAAATACTCTGAGCAAAGAATGCCTCACAAGTTCCCTTTTCTTTTACAAAGGGACACATTACAAAGGACACTGCTACTGACTCAATAAAATGATGCTCAGAAGTACGACCATTTAACTGGACAGTCCTACAGCTGAATATTTTCTACTGTTTTACAATGTCTTGTCTCTTCAACTGTAAGACCCAGGCCTACAGCCAAATGGGTAGGTACAAGCTGCACAGAGTTATTAAAGATTTTGCAACTAGTTCAACTGTTTGGAAGTCTTGCCAAGGGGAGTCCTTGTATGTGGTGGTGAGTTTCTCATGCAAGTAATTGGACTCAAGGATTACTAATTCTGCACAAAGGACCTGATGGATTAAACCTTTACAACCTGAATAGCTTGAAAAAAATCAAAGCACCTCTTCATAACATTGCTTTGCATGGCAAAGTCACTGCTTTGGCCTGGCTAATGATATTGACCAAAAAAGACTGTGGAGATACTTTATCCTTTGGCACACAAAAAGGATGGCTTGCTGTTTGGCAATGGGAATCCAGCACAGTAAGTAAAACTGAGGAAGGAATCACTTTGTTATACTAATTTTGCCTTGCACTTGATAGGATCAGTTTGCAGAAATACATGCCAAAGTTGTATCAGACAGTGCTGGTATAATGTGCTTAGCAGCTGATACAAATGATCACAAAACAAGTAGCTACTGCTTAGCTCTTGGCACACAGAGCATAGTATGCCAGATATGGATCATCAAGAAAACTCATGTAAAAAACATTGTATCAATTCGATTGGACAATACAATACCAAGATCTGTCATTTTTTGCAGCAATTCAGAACACAATCTGTATGTTTTTGGTACAATCAACAGACACATGTGAGTGGTGATCAGGTTGTGATTTATGTCAGGATAACAATTTTGTGTACAGGTTGACTGTAACAGGCAAGGATGGCCATATCTCAGAATATTACATACTCTTCACACACATGTATGTACTGTAATAGCTTACAATGACATTTAACTAGAATATGTTGATCATTGACTTATCAGAGGTAATGCAACAATGTCAAGGGGCAGACATTATATAGCTGTTGATTGCTTATCTGACCAGATACAGCTTTATACAAACTCTGGAACATGTACAGCTTATGAGTTCTACACTAATGTACTAATAAGGCATGTTCCAAAGCAAGTGTGCTAGGCTGAAGAAGATAAAGTCCTGGTTGTAGGGAGTGACATAGGCATTGTCTATGTATTTGACGTTGAGACAAGGAAGAAAGTCAAGGTACTCTATCATTCAGAGAATGCATTTGTACAAAGCATTACTGTAAGTTTGAACAATTAGTACAATTGGCAGCAGACTGACATTATTCACTTCAATCAGACTCATACAACTTCTGAGAGCAGTTACATAATATGTGGATTGACAGACAAAGACAAGGAACTGTTTGTCTCCTTATGGATAAAAAGCAATCCTAGCAAACCGATTATTGAGGACCTCTAGAGCAATACTTGGTCCAACCCCCTACTGACTATTAGTGACATCCTTGGCTTCTTATGTGGGTGCATATTTCTCATCATTTTTGTCATAGGAGTTGTAGCAAGTTTTTCTTATGTATCAGTATGAGATATCTATCCTAAGATGAGAGATAGTGTGACCTGACCAATAATTTCCACAGTTATTCGTGCAAGGATCCATAGGGGTACATGGGCAATACTGTCTTCTGCTCCAAAGAATGCTTCAGAATCTATTGGATAATTAAATGGTAGTATAACTAGTCTGGTATACATGTGAATAGATTGTGCTATAATACAATATACTTAATCTACCTAGCCAGTATGGCAAAAGAGCTGATTCGAGGGGTATTAAAGGAGATAACAGTATGGCCTGATAACAAACACTCTGCACACAAAACTCCCTAGCTGATTGTGAGACGTGATTGTGGCAGACTTGCCATGGGATAAGACAGATAATGTTCTCCACTAAGAGGTATGTTCTGGAGGGTCATAACTGTAGAGTAAACATGGCAGAATTTCAGCCAATTCTATAGTACATTATAATACTGCCTCTCTATTACACCATTTGCCCTTAAGTTGTAAGCTGATATCTGTATGTGATTGATGTAATATCTATCCTACAGATAGTCCAGCACTGCTACAAACAGTGTCCCATTATCTGTCACTAACTCTAGACATGCCCTGAACCTACACAACAATGCCTTGAAAATAAATGTGCCAATTGCCCTCCTGTTCTCCATCCTCAACATCCAAAACTCTGGATACCCTGACAATGCACACCTTGCATGCACAATGTAATGATATCTCCCCACCCTTGGCATGACTTTTGTGTCAATGTGAACCTTTGCAAACAGTGGTGCCACATCTAGAACAGTCAGTAGAATTACCACCTGTGTTGTCTGCCTCAACTAGTATTAATGACAGGTCTTAACAAAATACTTTACATTGTGTGCAAGTGTTGGCCACCAGAACCTCTCATACAACCTTGTCTTCACTGTATACACCCCTTTGTGCCCTATAAAATTGTGTACAGCCTGTACCAATTCTGAATGTTTCTCTGGTTCCATCACTACCACCTGTGAATATCCCAACTTTGACCTCCTCCAGATCCTACCCTCCTTGACAAAGAACCTACTTGCATACTTTATGAACACCCCCCATCCTTTATCCCCTACACCACCTGGTTGCTTCCCTTCTTTCAGGAACTCCTTCACCCATTCAAGCCTCTTGTCCTTCCTCTTCACACCTTCTGTTACTATAAACCAATCCTTCCTGAGTAATCCAATACTGTTGGATTCTTTAGATTCAGCAGATTCCCCAGATCCTATCACCAACACCTTGTATGTCACTCCTACACAGAATGCATATGCAGTATCTATCCATTCCTTGAAATTGTCCTCCTCTACTGGATCTCTAGGTACCATCTGTCTCCTAGACAAGCCATCTGTACATGTAAATTCAGTAGCTGGTATGTGCCTTAATTTGAAGTCAAATAAGAGAATCCCTACAATCTACCAGTTGATTGTGGCATTCTACTGCCTCCACTGTACAAGGCTCAAGCTAAATACTGATCAAAAGGTGCTAACACATTGCTAGAGTAATGGTCTCTACTGATACAGTGTCCATCCTTTAGCACTATCTAGTGTGAAGCAGTATTATTAGTGTATTAGCAGAATTATCAGAGTGTGTCAGATTAGCCAGAATCTGTGCTGTGTCCTACATTTGAGGGCAGAATGCACTTACAATATCTGCACAGTGTGAGTGCATCAGTGAATGCTATGAGCTTCTGGGCTTTGTAGTGTTTTGAATACATCCTAATGTATGCTTCCAATCTGTTGTTAGGTTCATAGTATCTATTCATTATGTACAAAAAAAAGGAAGCTGTGTCACATCATTTGCCTAGCTGTTATGGATTAGCACTTATAAGTTGGCTTATTAAGGTAAAGCTCTTACTACTACCAGAGAGAGCACAGCAATCTTATTTTTGTCAATCTGGAAGGAGGCAAAGTAGCCTTTGACTGCCTGTAGGTCAACAAACTCTTCTCCAGAAGTAGATGTAGAGTATATCCTTGCTGGAAAGTCTGAATAATGGGTGAAAGGATCTTGGTCCACATTTGTTACTGTAGAAAGATAACAAACACCAAAAATTGTGTGCCTATCTACAACAGAGATTCATTCAATGAAGGCTAGTACTGGTCTGCTAGAATTTCCAGGACAGATAACCACTTGGCTGTTCCCCTAATAACATTTGTGTGTAGTATATTGAACATTATTAAACCTGTATTGAGAAGGTTTGTTTTTGCAACACTACTTTGCATTTCTTGCATACTGTGCAACATTCTTCCCTGAGTCAATCTTGCCCAATACATTCTGATCTGCTTCTGATACCAGTACTGATGGATATGCTTTATTAGCAACTGATAAGCAGGCTTTTATGCCTAGAGAACAGTCAGGGTGTGAAGCTAGTGTCTACAACCTTAATGTAGAGATGAAAGCATTATAAAGTGTGGTTTTGAGCTGACCTGTACAGTAAACAGTTAGTGTAGAGGGTGTTAAAGCATGAATGACAATCTTTACCCGTCTTGTTATTGCTTGAGGATTCTTATAGCATACTAATGAGCTGCTCATAAGGATATGCCCACCACAAATAAATTGAGCTATAAAGCTTAAGGAAGTCTGTGATATGTTTTGCCATATACATGTTTAGGGTAGGTTTTGTATATGGATGGACCTCTATGAGTCTACATATATAATTCTTGATGTGCTTGTCATATGCAGAAATGGCTTCATCAGTTATAGTGTGTTTACACACTATACTGATTGCTTGAACTAATTCTATAGTGTGATCCAAGACATTTTCAAATCAGTCCTTAGCCTCATTACTCTTGTGTGTACCATTATAGTAACAATATGTGACCAGTGCTAACAGCAAATATACCATACAAAGGGTTCACTACTCATCTGCTTTGATCTTACCAGCAGAAGGCAATCCAAAATCATACAGTACTGAACAAATCCATGTTGGCTTTGAGGTGTGTTTGATAATGTGTCAAACATAGAGTATTAGTTTAGCTGTTATCAGCTTGACTGTCAGAACTGTAGAACAGAGTGGCCTTGAGTAGAAATACTGTTTGACAGTATGAGTTTGTACTAAGACAACATAAAAACCCTCCTCACCCAATTAGCAAGTGTACAAGCATAATTTGATTTCTGAGGTTGGTTTCATGCCTGTCCCTCATGCCCTACTGTTTCAGCCAGTGTCTCTGGTTCTAGCCTTAGTGAAGTCTACACAAAGGAAAGTACCTTCAACTTCTTCTTACACAATTGTTGGACAAAGCTTGTCCTGCTTTCATCAATGTCCCTGTTTTCTGGAATAGGCTTGACCAGCATGTTGTGAATAGCTGATATGTCTTCAATTTTGTTCTGATTCAAGGCTGTACAGCTTAGTAAATCTTCAACTTGCTTGAAACAGAAAGCATAGGCTGGAAGTTCTAGTAATAGTGCTGAGGCTGCCTTATCTGTTAGAGAGAAGATGTTTGTGAAATGGTTGTTAACTAGGCTAAGGAAAAGACAGTGTATTGGATTAATGACTAGCTGCTTTGAGGGATTCCAATATGGTAAATACTAAAGCTCTGACCATTACACACCATATTCTCTTGTAATGCATTTCCTCTGTACCTCTGAAGAACAATACTACCAATCTTCTGCCTTTTGTCACAGTGTCTCAAGATCCCTTCATGCAAATTCCCTGTCAACTTCACCAAATCAACTCTTTAGGCATTTACAGATAGAACAGGGGTGGTCCTTACTCTCATGTGATACAAGACCAGCTATTTTCTGGGTGGCTGGGAGGTCATTCGTGACAATGATAACTGTAGCTTGAGCTCAACAACTGTCTAGGGCAGATACTGTCTGTGAGAGGATAATCCTTAGCTCCCATACTCCTCTAAGTTTGTCCACAAGATTGAATATGTACTTGTTGATTTTGGTAGTAGGCAGCTTAGTAGGGCCTGGAATTATAACAATCAGGAACATGTTTTCTGATTTATACTGGATGTCTTCAGGCAGATTCAAGCAAACTAGAGAAATGACACTACAAGACACACTAGCTACACTACTCTAGACACCTGCCACATTGAAAAAATCAAGGTTTAAGGCAAATGCAAAGTGTAGCTCAGTATTCCTTTCAACAAATAATGTCCCAGATTGGTGTCCCTGGAAGCTTTGCAAGAAATCTGCTTGGAAAGGCCCTTTCTGAAATTCAGGACTGCTTTGCCCCTACTATAAAGTGTACAGAAGATTGTCACATGCTCTGTCAAGGTAGGCTTCAGTTGAGGGCTGTGAGGCCAGCCTTGCCATATAATCAAGAATAGAGTAGTATGTAAATGTTTTGTATGGCCTCTTGGTAGACAAATCTATGAGCTGTTCACTACAGGAGTACCCCCCTGTCAAGATCTCTGTACAGACCTCTGGAGAGATAGCTTCAGTCAAGGACCCATTGACTGTTATTTGATAAAAAGTATAGTAAGAGGGGCAGACAGTATACACAGTAGACAGTCTGTCCAACCTAAACCTTGCCCTGACAGCCCTGGAATCCTCTGGAATGTGTCTGACTATGTATTCTACTGTCTCATCATCCTTGACTGTCTTCAGAATAGCTCTGACCAGGCATTTCAGCATACTAAGTAGTATGTCTGCAGATTTCTGACTTAATGTAAAGTAGACAGTGCAGAAAATTGAGATGAACATAGCAGTCTGTACAATATTATTTTCCCAGTCTACTGGCCAGGCAAAAAGATATCCTTAACATACATATATTAGATGAAAACTGACATATAACTCTAAGAGAAACATACTACAATCAAACACTACTGGATCACTGCTAAGCTCTGAGTTTGCTGAATGAATTGACTCCATGCCTAAGTTATTACTGTCCAGAGGCATATTAATGTCAGAGTCACAGAGATCAAGGTTGCTTTGCATCCTCTCAGACCCTCCTGTAGTTGTGGATCCCTCATTGCTAGACACGTCTGCATGTTCTCCAGGAGCAGTGGATTCTGTGTTGTTCAGCCTTATCTGAATAAGATGTGCCTTATGCTTGCCTTTTACACAATAAACTCCCTAGAGACCATCACAATTTAGTGTCTTTGAGCATTCATTGCATGTACACAATGCTTGACAAAAGCTGCTTAACAGTTGCAGCATTTCGTTCCAGCTCTACAGACTGGCTGAGCACTCAGTTGAATTGTGTAGGACCTTCACTCAAAAAATGCATTATAATGTATTAATTACTCAATTTGTCACAAAGAGACATGTTTAAAGGTGTAGGAACCAGATGATGATTGCCTTTCAGTCAGTTGTAAATTCTGATTACCTATTGTGGTAGCTCTTTTCATTTCCTGCTCGAATGAGAACTCCTTTGTCCTAAGAGCCTATCATAGCCAATATTAGGAGGGTCCCAGCCTGATGTGAGACAGTATTTAGCAGCTCAGTGTTGGATTGGGCATATCTGCCAAATAAACTGATTCTGAGGTCAGATTGAACCATTGAAATAAAGGATCAAATTCTTCCTCATGCCAACTGTACAAGAACATTTTATATGTGTAAACATTATATCTACACATGATTAAATATACAACAGATGCTATTGTCTATGATGAAGCAATGACTAGGGCAAGCAGAATTGGGCTTGACACATTAGAGCTTTGGCAGAAGTGGTAGATTACAATCTGAGTGGCTCCAAACTACTGTAGGTTTGTCTTCAGCTCTGATACCTGCTTACAGGTAGTGTCTTTATGTCTTTGTTGCATTGTTTACTGTAATGTCTCAATGTGTCATTCAATCCAACTCCAAGACTTGAATTAATGTGCAAATTACATACACAGGCAAAAAGAAGTGTGGGTGTATGTAGGAAATAATGTTCAGTACCTACTATCAGCCTTAGAAAACAGTGGCAATTACTTGTGTGTTCGTCTGCATCTTATCTCAAACAAGCCTGGGAGCACACAATGATGCACCAGCACTAATCATCTGTTTGCCCTTCATGTCAGCCAACACAACAGCCTTACACATTAGAACCCAAGGAATGTAGCATGGCAGGTATGTTTGTACATCTATACTCTGACTATCAATGTATTGATTGTGTGAGAAGCTCTAGTACTCGACAGGGCTCACCACATTTCTCAATTGTATCAACCTGACACATAGTCATCCACACCCTTACACAGTTCCTAAGGAATACAGTATGGCAAGTGTGTTTGTTTGTTTTGTCTCACAATCTGTTTCTTGCTTGTCATTTCGATTACATTACAGTCCTGCACTTTGGTTCCACTCAATGTCAAACAATCAGCAAAGACTACAGGGTTGAGGCTGACAAAGACAGGAGGTACAATGCTTGTCACTGTCACTGTTTGTGAATGGCTCAAAGACTGGGAAAGACAGAGGATGTGATGTTTGCCTGTTCTGTACTTTGGGCAACTCCAGTGGCTATGTAGTGCAGACAGACAGAGGCAATGTTTGTATCAACAACACTGACTAGAGTGCCTGGGGACCAGGGTGTGATAAGTAGATTAGAAGTACAAAGAGAATTGTTCACTAATGTGTGAAACTTTTATAATATTTGGTGTGGTTGGCATTAGTGATTCAGGTTGCAAGTCATTGTGTGTGATTGACTTTCAATGCAAGTGAATTGTGTCAGAAAGAGAAGCCTGGAGGTGCTTCACTGTGATTCACCTGCATCTTTTCTTTCATTGCTAAATACTATGTATTGCCCCTTTTGTACAACACTATATTTTTGTTGAGAACTTAGGATTTGCATTTGTCTCATATATAATTGAGCATTAAGCAGCTCATTCTTGCTCTATATCAAATGTTGTCTCTCATGATTGCTACTGACCTGGGACTTTACATGTACCCTAACTTCTGTATGACAGCTTTTCATGTATCTATACAGTTAAAAGGACAATATAAAGACAAAATCAAATACAGTTCCTTCAAGTGTATTATGAGGTAAATATTCATTCCAACTACACTTAGGCTCCAGAAACGTTATCTTGCATTAACTTACACACATTGTTTTTGCATCAAGACTGCCCTCAAGAGTGATACTTCCTAGTAAAGCTGCTCTATTGTATGCAATATCTTGAGGTGCAGAATGTAATTGTTGCCAAACCTACACACACCTTCTTGAGAGCTTACAGACCACTCTTCAAGTAAAAGTACATTCAATTGTTTGTGGTAACTGTACAGGACTCCTTGAAAGTCTGTATGCTAATGCTTGGTAGTGTCTTCCTACTCCCCCTCACTAAGCTTGCTATGGTTGCCCTTGTCATCATGTGTGACTGTGATGCATTAAGGGACTTAATAAAGAAATAATTTTAGGGCAAATATGACACTCACCTCAGGGTCTGTTGCATAGGAAGTGTCTGCTACCAGAATGAGCAATTGTAGTCTGCTACAGCACTTGAGAAGAAGACTCAGAGACAATACAATGTTTGCTTAGTAATGGGTCCTCAGCCTCATTTACTGGGTCTGAGTATGAGTGGATCTTGTTCTCCTCTAGCTTGGCCTTCTTTGACTTACAAGTTGTCTGGTCTTGTGAACCAGGGCCTGTAGTAACAGTATTAGTTTTAGCATCCTGACAAATATGCAAATGGTCCACAATAATAACATTGTGTATTTTGTCAAGTCCTATACAATTAGGTTAGCTAGAAATGAGCTGGAGACAATGACTTCTTGCCAGAAGAGGTGTACCTTCATTGTCTGAGTCAAGTATAATGGGCCTCTTACTGTGCCTCTTCATAATATAGTTGAGCAGAGGATATGAGGGAGGTTGGGGGAAAGAAGCAAGATGTCTGGAGGATAGGAGAAAAAATAATACCCTCTGCTAGAAGTAGGCTGTGCATCAATTAGACATGCTGGGAGATGAAGAGACTCAGACTAGGTTGTTTGATTGTTTTGCCTTCTGAGACTAGTCAGTACAGTTTGTGCCTTACCTTGCCCACCCTACCTGTAGCACTTGTATAGATTGACCAAACATGATACACTTGTCAAATTTACCTTTTCCCTAGTTTACTAGGCACCTTGTTTGTTTCAACAATCACACTTAAGTGTTTCTGTACAATTGTAGCAGAATGTTAGACTACAGTACATGAAATGTAATCTATAGAATTTTGGGTCTTGATTCACTACAGCCATACTGTGCTTCTTCTCCTTGCTCTAGTAGAGTCATCCTACTTTTAGTGCCCCAGAAAAGGGGCTGGTGCAGGGTGCCATATCTGTCTTCTTTTTAATCCAACCAGCTTGCCTCAGAGAAGGGAGTGTCACAGGGCAGAATATTGGTCTCCTTTTAAGCCCAACCAGTCTGCTACATTAGCCTTAAGACTAATACCCATTCCCTTGTTAACAGCTGAAGCCCCTGCTCCCCTCATATAGACATGAACATACTACCTGAAGAAGAAATCAGAGGAATCAATGAATTGGAATCTGACTCAGAGGACTTGGGTGTAAGGTATGTGAAGTTGCACACTTGCTGTGTTTTCAATAGCTCATTATCTCTCTTATTTGAATCCAGAAACACCCCCAACCCTCTAACCACTACTGAGCTAACAACACTAGAGCTTCATGAGCTTATACACAAAGGCTACATTGACCTCAGCCCCCTGTATCAGAGAAGTGTGTTTTAATGAAGTGTTCTGTATCACCAGATTGACTTAACCTGAGTTGAACAAAGACCTTGTTTGGAGCAGGGAAAAGCAAATCATATTAATAGAGTCAATCCTTAGTAATTACTATATTCCTCCTGTACTGTTTTGTGTCCAGCCTAATCCAGACAGGTCTGATATACCTTTGAGGGTGTGTATGGACAGAAAGTAACAGTTGTTGTCTATTCAGTCATTCATCAATGGACAGGTATACAGTTCTGTGATTATGCTTGAGCTCAGACATTAAATGAATCTCTTTTAGATTCCCTGTAAGCTCAGTCTCATTCATACTCTCAAAGCTGCTCATATCCTTGTTCACCAAAGACAGAAACCCAACCACAAAAATGCTGTTCTATTACAAGCTTCCTAGGACTCAGACCAGGAAGAAACAACTTCTTAAGGAGAGTTTAAAGAACGAGTTTGATAAAAAAATGATTGTTTGTGGTACGAGTACCTTTTTTGCATTATTCCATTTTTACTAAATACTTGCTACAGTAGAGTATAGAGGCATTGAGCCTACAGTCAAATGCAACATTTTCTAAAGAGTGCAAATGGGTGTTCTGTTAACTGTAGCTGGTGAGCCAGACTGTGTGCCACATATCTTGTCTGTTGACAGATTGCTCACCTTTTTAAAGAGAAAATGGTAGCCATATCAACACCATTTGCTGACTGGATAATAGAGCTTGACAACACACATACAGATGGAGATGACAATAGACTGAATGTGGTCCTCAGGTGGGATACCAGTCAAGCAAAGCACTTTTCATACATTGTACAGCTTGTGTACTGTTGCAAGAAACTACCCAAGCAATCGGATGTGACCAATCAGAAGATCACAGTATGGCTATACTGTGATGATACACTAAAGGAGGAACTTAGACAGAAAATCGATTGGGTGCTCAATAAATACCAGCTTATTACAAGTTCTGACAATCTTAATCAAGCATTCACAAAGGTCAAACAAATTGTTGTCCCAGTCAAGTTTGTATTCATGAGTATGATAACTATGATGACAATTATACTCACATGATTAGGGAAGTCCTAATTCATTTTTTTTACAGGTGTCCTCATTTATGCCTTGCAAGATTGCAATGATTCAATTATTGCAAAAGAGATTCTTGGTCTTTGAAAGGCTGTTTGAAGTCAGCACACTGACATTTGTACAAACAAACGTGTTACAATAATGTTATGGGGATACATTGAAAAGGCTGCAGAGCAATGTAGTATTGTAATGGATACCTTGAACTCGACAGCTGTCACTAGTGGTATAGGAAACAAGACAAAGCAAAAGTGAGACAAAGATGACTAGGGTAATATGTCTACTCCAGCCAAGGGATTGGGTTACAAATATTGTTGCTTGTGACTTGTGTATCATGTTACAGTGTCTTTGTCTGTATTACTTACCCTCAAATTTCATGGGCAGCTTACTTTCCACTACAATATTGTCCTATTCTGATACGTCCCCAAAATCACTGTCTAAATCAGAATCAATGTCCAGAGTTTTGTCATTTTGATCTTCTACTTATCTTGTCTCCCCAGCCTTGAAATCCTTCGAACTGACTTTCACCTTTGGCTAGGTTGCTAATGTCTTCTTTCCCTTTGCATTCCTTCACTGTGACCAAGCCCTGTTCCTGATGCAGACTCAACTGTGCTATCTGCTTCATCTGTGCTTTCTGTCTCTTCAGGTCTAAAAGACGTCTTGTGCAACATTCTAAATCTGATGTGAACAACTTGCAATATGTTAATTTTAGTAGTGATTTTGTCTTTCTGATTGTCAGTTGCCCTAATAAGTTTCCATTGGGACATTCTGGGCCGTCATCACACTACTACAGCTTCCTCTTCTCATAAGGCTAATATACCTTGAGAATGACTGTTAATCATTGTTCCATCCAATTTCACACAGAACTGAATATCAGACATGTAGATGAATTGTATTTGGGTAGACTGATATTATTCATCCATGACTGATTGTGTACAGACCACTTCCATGTGCTTTGAACAGTACACACACATAGTAAAGATACAATAATTCCTTATTGTATGTTGTCTCCATAGTCATAGCCTCTGAGTGAGGTAGAATAATTTTGTACAATCTGATGTTATCCACATAATCCAAAATTGAAACTACTACAGTCCAGCCTTGTAACTGATCAAGAGTCTGTGGATAGCATTTAGGTTATTGACTTACATAAGATATTTCTCACTTTTGCTCTTGGGTAGATGTTTTCAACAACAGAGAATGTCTTTTCTATCAAACTTCAGGAGTGTGTCAAAGATCAAAGTCTGGACCTTTGGTAGAGCTTGTAGGCTACAATCAGACTTACTAGAACACATGCAGGACACACTGTGAAGTAAAGTTGTTATCTAACTGAGAATATGGGGGACAATCATCATCTTGGAACCAGCACCTAAGGACAACAGGATAATTTCTTGTGTTTCATAACTAACCAAATTTGCTAAGACAAAATACAGAACCATTCTTTTCTTAACTATTGCAAATAAAACATGCATGATCCCTCCACTGAGGGTAACAGCAGTAATGAGCATTCTAATGACCCACATGACCATTCTTGGCAAACTTGATCCTTACACTACACCTGCTCCTCTTTGGTCACTGCTTGTGCAAGACGTGCAGATTCCTTTTTAAGGCATGCTTCAAGCAATATTTTGGTGATTTGGTGGACATTGTTGGCCAGCACTGATCCTTACTGTCAGCTGTCTACAATCAGTGAACAGAACAGACAATATCTGTGTCTGAACTGTAAGACACTTGCACACTCTGCCTATGTCTTCTTCTACACTCATAGGGACAGTAAAGTGTATGGAAGAGGGATTATTTGTCTCATGTTAGTGTCAGAGTCAGCCTTGTCAGGTATGAATTCAATGTCCCCTACTAGTGTAAGTGTATTACAGTACTGTTCAACCATATTGTAAAACAAGACCAAACAGTCTAATTCCCTTCCTTTCAACAGACTGTCCTTGTTATAATTCGGAAATTCAAGGATAAATTCCTTAAGTCTAGGACACATGATGCTGATTCCCTGTGGTCCATATCTACTCTGGGGAGCTAGCTCCTTGAAGAAATTGGGTGTGAACTGGAATTCTTTCATATGAAGCCTCTCTAAGTTGGGTATGCAAATTAGAAAGCTGAGAACACACTCAGCTAGTAAGGGATCCCATTTTGCATTATAGAGTGAAAGAGTCTCTAAGTGTTTGAATGTATAGTTAGGCAGTGTATACAACTCTAAAGCTTCCTGAATATCAACATTGATTGGAGGCTAGTAAGTGAAGCATTTCAGTTCAGGCTTGGGTACACTTGTCAAGGTTTCCTGAACTGTGTTAGGAGTGTATTTGACCTCAAGGGTAGTCAATTTCTCCATTGATATGGTTGAACCATTGAACACATCCTCAGAGTCTTCATCAGCCTAATCCTCAAAAGGGATATTATAGAAATTTATCTTGAGGGATTCCAAATTCAGTACTTTTTGCATAAAATTTTGAAAGGCCTTGTGTTGCAGATGGCCCCTATAGTACAGAATAACATCCTGGAATTCTATCCACCTTAGGCTATATAGTTGCCTATTGCCTATTTTAATGGCAGGATTCCCTCTAATACAGAGGTATGCTAACTTTGGTGAATTTGTTGTATTAATGTATATGTCTGGACCATTGCTGTAGATCCAACAAATTGTGAGAGTCTCCAACATTAGTGTATTAACAAGCTTGAACTTTGACAGTCAATCTGTACTGATGTCAAAGTTGAAATAAGTGTGTAGCCAGTGATGCTACTGAGTAAGAATCATTTCCATGATTTTCTCCTAGGTGTTGTGATAGTGCTTCTCATACTTTCCCTAGACACTGTTATAGAAATTGTCAAGTAGTAACTTGGCCTTGTGAATGCAGATCATCTTAATATTAAGTGGGCAGTTCCTAGACCTCTTGAAACAAGTTGCAACAGTCCTTTCAAGCTATTTTGTTTGTTTCTCACTGTCTTGACAGGAGAAAGACACTAATATGAATGTCCATAGTAGCAAGTATCCTTCAACTACAAAACGCCAGCTCCTACAGATTTGCAACAAGTGAATGGGTGCAAACATGGCTCTGTCACACCCCTTAGGTCTCTACCTCTGTGACTCCTGGACAAAATTTAGGAAAACTTTGTAGAGCACCTCTTCCAGCAACTCTTTAATCCAACAAAGAGGTTGAACCATGTTATCCCTATATAATCCATTTATTGTTGTATAGGAACACTATGAAGTTCAAACTTGCTGATTGACAAAGGGTAAAACTCTTGACACTAACTAATCTATGGTATGGATTACAGATGGCACAGATAATAATCTTGAGTATACACTAGAGCCTTAGTGTGACAGGAGAGGACTGTAACCTAGCTGATGATGACAGAGGAAAGAAAGTTGTTCAGGAGCACTATACTACACACTTGAACACACAGAGTGTATGAATTATGTGTCCAAAAGTAGGAAATGTTGTAATGACTAACATGAGTTTGTGAAAATATACAGCCAGTTCTGAGAAGTATTCATCATGATAATAGATTCTCATCACTCTATTTTGTGTAGACACATCAAAACTTGTCCCCTCCAGATAAAAATACAATTCCTTTGACTAATTTACATGATCCTGGCTCAACCTAATTCATTAAAAAATGCAAACTGATATAAAATTATATGCTGTAAACCTAGTCTCAGTAATAATCATACTTGTGAATGTGTCTCTGGAAGGATGTGAGAAACTACTACTAACTATGAGGGTGACAAACACTTTACAGAACCATAGTTGTACAACACATACACAGATAGTCATTCCTACACTCATTGTATAGAGAGTCAATGAAAGTATCTAGCATCTCCAGGCACAGTAGTAATGATACAGTGCTTGGTGAAAGAGATTCACACACAGTAGCATAAAGACTACATTAGTATTACTCTAGGGATTGACCCTTTTAAGAGTTACACATCACAGTTATACAACTCTAGACTGGAAAATAAATTGTGATGAGTGATAACAAGGAGCCAGGAGATTGACAATCTACAAACAAAGGCACACTACAGGAGAATTAGCTACTGTAAAGAGTGACTCAGTTGTACCCAATCGTGCCAACCCTGATCACAGAGAGCCAGATCTAACAACAAGGGCCACATGCTGAACTCAGACTGGTCTATTTCACAGACACAACACTAGAGCATAAAGAGACACTCTGCCTACTGAGTGTCTGTGAGACTTCCCAGGCAACGTTCTAGCCCTGTAAAGAAATTCTGGAGCTTGAAACAATGAAAAATGTTAGCAAACACAAAAAGAAATAGAACCAATATGTATCATACCTGCTCATGTCTTCATCAATACAGGGCTTGCATCACAGACCATCCATCATACTCGTCCTGGACAAATAACAACAGAGAGAAGACCTACTATTGTAGCTGCCCCAAGCAAGTAGGTAGGGAATGGTGGTAGGGAAATGTGTAACAATGCACAGGATGCTGAATGTTGCCTTATAGAATGGTATGAACTTGGAATGATAACTTTGTACCATTCTTCAAGGGCAGCTGTGAATACAACCAGTGACAAATCATTTATACTGTTCAGTCCAATGTGGTAACATGATACATGCATGAAGTGCAAATGAAGTGTATAGGGAATAGCATATGTAAATGTATGACCAAAGTGACAAGAAATGGAAAGTAGTATAGGCAAACAAAACGTATGTATAAATACAGCACCTTGACTTTATGTGCCCCTGAAAGGGTCAGATACACTAAACTGCATCACCTGCATACAAAGCATCATTACTCACACCACATCTCCTTCTCTCTCTCCTCTCTACCTTAAGGGACTCTTTGAGTTCACATTGATTCTCTAGCTTGTGTTTACAGCTACAATGTGTAGTAAGTACATTTTGCCTTTACTTAGCTACAATGGCATTGGCCTCAGCAGTTGATACAGGAACCCCTGCAAGCTTGTTGTCTTCTTTGTCAAACACTACAAAGTGGGCATGCTTGTAGGCAAATACTGCTGGAACAGCCTTACAAGACGTCACTGATAGTATAAGATAGTTGTACAGCTGAGTTGGTGTATCAAGTAGCCTTGATGTTGCCTAGAGGAGTGACAAGAGTGGTCAGGAGTTGATTGTAATAGTAAGAAGGAAGGGTGTTCAGACACAACATGCTTGACTATTGAACACACAGAGTGTGCAAAACTATCTCTGAATGCAATTAAGACTGTGTGACATGAGTCAAAATTTGTATGATAGATATCCATATCTAGAAATATTTTTGCACATTTGATGTGTTCAAGAGTCTACAGAAGCAAATCTAGCAACTTTTCTCACTCTGTCATCATGGCCATACCTGGTAAGGGTCTGCTCATCATCAGTAGTACAAATAGCATACTCACAAGAATATTGATCCACATGTCTGTACTGATATTTTGGAATATGTACTACAATAGCCTGTATAATATGTACTACAATCAAGACAGTATTACTTCTGTATTATTTAGTGTTCAGTCATGAGTAGAAGGGTGTTGTCAAGGCAAGTCTAACAAGTAAAGTAGAGGCTATATACTCACCCTATTCACTAGGTCAGATAGGCCTCTATGACAGCTTGCTTGACATACTAGCAGGCCAGCTACTCCTCCAGTACCTTGGCAGGACCTTTACCAGGCACCTGAGCAAGTACTGTATATCTGACAATTTGCCAGACCAATACTAGACAATGAAGAATGGGAGACAATAACAGCTGAGCAGACAAGGGCTTGTCATGAAAGGTTAAACTTTCTCCTGGGGGCAACTCAAGCTCAGTGCCTACAGTACAGGGAACCAGACAGGGAACAATACAGGGGCTACATTCAAGGTTCTTTGACTGGCTCTTTAGAAGATTGTCCTTGTTGTCCTCTTGTAATGATTGAAATGTATGAACCTATGTGCTGCTTGTTTCATTGTGGTTGGTTTGCAGGAGCCTGGTATTGTCCACTCTACAGTCTTGTACAGTCATTTCCCACATGCAGCAATTTGGAAAATCACCTTTTTGAGTGCCACCAGTTTATAACATATAGTTGGACAGTCTACAGGAATGCAAGTACCTACTTTTCATTGTATACACATACACAGTCTAATCAGTTATTTAGCCAACAATCTGGGAGGAAAATATCTAGTGCCTTGTTCTGAGTATAGTACTTGTAATGCCACCTTTCCTGCTGCCTGATGAACAAAATTATGTGAACCCCCTCTTACTATAATCTAAGTTTGAACACCTTGTACAAGCATTTGTTTGACTCTGTACTATTGAAGAATTTGAATGATTAATGAATGTGGCCATTTTTAAGTAAAAAGTACAATCCTTGTGTGTAGCAAGAAAAAGCAAGGCCTCCTCTTTATATTTGGGTGGATTGATTGCCCACTACTGACAAAGTACAAACTGTCAACCAACTGGCACTTCTATTCTTTATTAGTACAGTTCTCATTGTGAATGAGACAAATTCGTAACTGCAGATGGTTGTAGTTCTCAACCTGGCTGTCTTTACAGTCACCATTGGTGCATAGCTCATGGGTTTCAGTAAGCATTTGCCAATAGTATTTCTGAGTTTCTGAATTCTGATACTTATTCACTTTTAGCCTAGAAGATTGTGTGAGCAATGTAGGCTACATGAGACCTCAACAAGATATTGTCTCTTGGTACTGACACTGAAGAATCCCACAGAAGTGCAATGCTACCCATAGAAGGCAAAATCAAGTTCAACAATGTTGACTTCTCCTATCCTGACAATCCAATGTTCCTGTCCTCCAAAGTACGTCTCTTCTGTTTAAGCAAAACGAATGTATTGTAATTGTTGGTGTGTCAGGTTCAAGCAAATCCACAATAGTGCCTCTCTTGCAATGATTATACAAACCAAATTCAGACTCAATCACAATAGGTGGGAACAGCTTACATGCAATGGATGTCAAACATCCCTGTACACATATTACTGTTGTTAGCAAACCCTAATCTTTCAATGTGTTCATTGTAGAGAACATTGCATATAGGAATGCAGGGCTTTCACCCAATAATGTCTGCTACAATGTGCAAGCTGTACACATGCATGACTTCATTATGTCTCTCCTACAAGGTTACAAAATGCATGTAGGGGAGAATGCTTTACTAATCTCAGGAGGTCAAGCCTAGTGACTCACTATTGTATGTGCACTCACTCGTCCTGCACGTGTACTTATCCTAGACGAATGTACAAGTGCTCTGGATCCAGAGAGTCAGGCTGCAGTCATAGAGACAATTTGTTCTGTGAAAGTCAGGAGAACAATGCTTACAGTGACACATAAATGACCTGTGATGCTGTGATCAGATTGTTGTTATTAATGCAGGCATGGTTGCTGAGAGGGGACATACAATGATTTGATTGTACAGAACAGCACAACTTGCAAGGAGTAGAGAGTGGAGAGTGGGTGGGTGAGTGATTACCTTGTTCTTGCTTGATTGCCTACTTTCTCTCCTTGGACTATAATATAGGCCCTTCTGAATTTCTGTTTCTTGATCCTGATGATTATTCTCTAATAACAAGCATTTTTTTTATTGAAACACGTTCAACTTTCATTCCCATTTTTGACTGTTTGGTTTCCCTGGTAGGATCAAATTCTTATTTTCTGTTCTGATTTATTCATTGACCATTAATGGTTATCATTTTCTAACTCTCATAACTCCTTAGACCTAAATATTTTTGTACTTTTAGCCCCATCATGGTTACATCTATCATAGTGTCACAACTATAAGACTGGATGACTCTTTCCTACTGTATGTTTGTCATTAGTAATATCTATTCAATTACACAAAGTGATCAGTAAATGTATGACTAAGTGCCCAGCCATTGCTCAGCTGTTCACATAATCTTTATAGGCAATCTCCTGTATGCTTGGCTACCCTCAGCAACTATCCTGTGTGTGCTTGCTGTCTCACACAATGAGCACACATTTTTCATCATTCCTCACTCATTTCCCCTTCAATTTCACTCTTTTTTCTTTAAATTACATAGATACATCATTGTTATCATATTAATTGGTATTATCATGAATATATACACATTTATGCATAATTATCTAATACAATCGAAACGCACAGATATGTGCAAGTATCATTCGTTTAAATGGGCCCTGTATATGATTTTTGGGACCCTATAATGAATGCACAAGACAGTGTTTGAGTGTTCAATATACAGATACATGGGAAGCATGTGATACATGCCTTTAGAAGGTGACAGGCAACTCACAAAGATGATGTTTGACATATGAACGAATATTTATTCTGAGGTATCAGTAGCTATACACAATAATAATACCTCCTATTCATTCTAACTTATAACATACATGAGATGCCTGTTTGTATCTCTTGTCACAAATTATTACTCATATCATCCAGGATGTGATGAAGGGGAACGGATGCACTTACAGGAGCTTCATAGGGTTATGCTTGAAGCAGACAACCAGAAGGATATACTGAGCAAAGTAATGAAACAAATGAAACAAGCAGTTGAGGACTATTGCCTTATAAAAAATAGGGCATTCAGAGGTCTCTGAAATCTCAAGTACATGATACAATCATCACATTGAAGCAAATGGATGAAGAGGCAATATGGATATTATGATTTAGACAAAAAATACTCTATACAGTTAAAAAATCTCAAATTTACATGTGCAACCTCCTTGATACAAATGACAGTCTGAAAGTACTTAGACACACGAATTTCTATGTGGACAACGTGTCAGAAAAGTTCCTTATGAGTGTCTTGAAGATGTCTTGCAAAGAGCTGTTGTATAAATTCAAAGTGTTTGCTATTACTGGTTTGGCTGGTAATTCCACATCTGTTACAGTTGCAAACTCAAACAATTGAAAAAACATCCTGAAAAAAGTCATTTGAGAGAATTTGATAAAACAACTTTGTGCACTCCACTCTCCCTTTTGTACCTTCCTGTTATGATTGACAGACATTTGAACAGGCAAGCTTACAGGCAATAATAAGGTGGTTTGCTATGGAAGTCTTACACTGACTTTGTAAAAACTTATAGTGTTCATTTGATTAATTGGCCACTTGAAGATGCTGGCCCTATTAATAATTTGAACACTTGAGCAACTATGCAATTCAATCAAAACAGGTGAGTGTAAATGGGAGATGATGGAGGAAGAACATTTGACTTGTTCCCCCCCTCCCCCTCCCCCTGCTAAAGAAGAAAAGGAAAAGTGATCAGACAAGGGGTCTAAGCAAGGATCAAAGAGGCAGCACATTGAAGTGGTTGAAACGGTTGAAACAGACACACGTGAGTGTGCTTGAAGAGACTGTTATATAAATTTAAATATAGACAAAGCTATTAATATTAATGATAATGTTTGAATGAATATCCAGTTTGGCACATCTGGTGGATCAAATTATACTTATAGATTTTGTGTATGAATCAGATTGAACAACTTGCAACAAATTGCTTAACTAATTTGATTTCTTGGTGTGGGAACTGTAGGTGTACAATAGTGTCTTTTCTCCTGTATTTTAAATATTTAGGACAACCCTCATACTGTAGGTCTACATTTGTTGTCTTCCATTTGGGTCAGTGGGAGTGAAAAAATCTGATGTAATCTGACATAATCCGACATAATCTGACATAATCTGCTTAGTCTGATGAACTATCTGCTACAGTCTAGTCTTGCTATTGGTCAAGAGTCTGTGTGCTGGGATAGTAATACATATCTGCCAACACTAGATCATCCTTCTTATCCCTCTCAAACACACTTTTCATTGCAATAAATGTATTTTGCTCATGAAGACTGGCTTTAACAGACATTATAAACATATGAACTGTTTGCCAATCTCCAACTGTCTTACATTTGAAGAGATGTCTAATCCATGTCACACTAGTAGAAAGTACAAAAGAGAGATGTAGAAAGCAAAGACACTGTACATTAAACATCTGATAAAGATGTGTGTACTACACAAATGCCACTTTGATGCTAGTACCAGGGTTCCTGTAATCCTCCTTTTGACAAAAGTGTGTGTGCATTAGGCTATTGTGACAACCTGTATAATTGTACAGGTACCTACACTCATGAATGGGAAAAGAAGAGAAGGATAAATATAAACATGCTAAATCAGTTGAGTCTATTAAGGAGTGGGAGAGAGGATACATATGCTTGTGAAATGACATCAGTCTGGTAGAAGTTCTGAATAGGACGTTAGAAATTGACAGACTTATTAATGGTAGTAAGAGTCTTTAATCTAAGGGAAGCAAAGTCAGCAGACATGCATTCTCTCACATTGTACTGTGCAAGTGCTAGGGAGGTCTACTACATATAGTCTCACAGCATGAGAACATTGTTGTACAGAAGTGGGTGCTCAACCACCTCAGAAATAGTACTTAAAACACAAGTCAGGACAACAATAGAAAAAGGCAAGTACAATGACATACTGGATGATTTCCAATCTTCACAGGATGTACTAGGTGGTGGCATGGCAGTACAACCAAGTTGTGGGCAACCCTCCATGTTAACCCATACAGTAGACTTCTCAGTATATGCAGCTCTGGGTAAGACAACATTGGCAAGCTGAGCACTGAGGTCATTATGGTGGCCCTCATAAACAACAAACACATCTTTGGCAACCTAGTAGTTTCTGATACAACAAAGTGTAGTAAATAAGTAGTACAAACTTCCTGGCACCAAAGGCGATTTTGCTCCATAGGTTTGCTGCTTGAGAATTCGCCCACCTGAGGGACATACTGTAAGGGGCCTAATTAGAGGGTGTACAAGACCCTTGTAGTCCCTCTAATTAGGTACCTTTTGAGCTTTTCTCCCTAACTGTACTTAATACTAGACTTAAATAGTAAAAAAAATTCTAAGTCAAAATAAAATAAAATAAAATAAGTATGCTGAGTGCCCTATATGGCAACTGTGCCCTCCCCACCTGCCATACCTTGAGCTCACTGTCTCATACAGTGAGCACACACTTTCCTCTGTATCTTACTCAATTCTTAACCAAATTTCTTCATTATTCCTTTAAAATTAATGTAAATTTAGTTGGAACTCATTCATAACACAAATACAATGTTAAATGTATCAATTACTTGTGTATTTGTGTACTATTTGATAATAAAAAATACAACAGTTTCCTCTGACTAAGATTTATGATACTCTAAACTCTTAATACTGTAATAATAGTAGAGCTTATATATCTACAGTATATCCAAGAATTGAGTCTGTGTAA